TCTCTTCCCTTCCCTTCCCTTCCCTTCCCTTCCCTTCCCTTCCCTTCCCTTCTATTCCATTCATTTATTCATTTTTGTTTTTAATATGGCTAGGAATATTTAAAGGATGTATCAAAGAACATAGAATCTATGATGTGAAGGTTTTTTAAAATGAAACATTATCTATAATGTCATATATACACACACATGTATACACAAACATACATATAAACTTTCTTGCAAGCAATCTGGAAAATCAGGCCAGAAAAGTAACTGACTAAAATATTAATGCATACTATTATTTTGGGTTTTTTGTACAGTATAACAGTGAAAAAGCATTGCCACAAAAACTTAGACTTTATTTTCTAGATTTTTAATTGTGGAAACAGACCTATATTTGCTAGTATATAATATATTTTGACTGGTTATTATTTTACACATTATTACATTTCTTAAGTTCCACCAGCGTTTCCAGCAGAAAAAGCAATACCAAAGTACAATTTCTTGAAATACAGCTGTAGATGGTAAAGCACTATCAAAAAATATTACTTACATTTTGAAAGGTAGAGTCCACTGATTTCATATGACTAGCAATTAATTCTTTGTCTCTGTTGAATGAATAAAAAAAATCATGTTCTTATTGCTGTTTTTACTTTGTTATTTTTAAAAGTTTATTTTATTTTGTTGCTTTTACTTTTGTATTGTATTCTTTTTTTTATAAAGCATCCTAGATAATGTGTTTATTAGTTGTAACCTATCATTTTCAATTGTAAATGTAATTTTTAATTGTAGACTATGAGATTTCTTTGAACAGGAAGCTGAAGAGCAGGTAACACATTTATATGTTACATTTATCATTACCTTTGCAGGCCTGTGGGTCCTTGGGAATCGGAGATATTCTTAGATGGCTCCACTGTAATTGATATTCGGCTCTCTGTGTGGGGTTTGTATATTTTAAAGTCTAAATTTTATAAAATCTGTGATAATGTTTTTATTATAATAATAACTTTTTATCTTTTTATAATGCTTGTTTTTATTCACTTGTTATTTTATTTAATTGTTGTACGCCACCCAGAGGCTCTTTGTGCGAGATGGGCAGCTATATAAATGTGACATATAAATAAATAAATAAATACATTCCAATGTCATATACAAACATGTTTAGCTAACAAAGTGACTAGCACAAGCAACATTTTCCATTCTTTTTCTGCTGCTTTAGAGTCAACTCTATAATGTTTCCTGTATACAATTGACTGATGAAACTTCTCCATGTGAGGGATGATATCAGGTCTAGTCTACCAAGGGTAACAGACAGAGATTGTACTGGAAGTGATTAGTGTCATTCTAAGTTCTATTACTGGACTTTTAAATATATTTCTACAAGTTCAGAATACGATTCTTATGGATGATAAAATTCTAGAACCATCCACAAGTACAAATCAATAAGAAATTTTGAAAATAAAAAATGCTATTGTTTTATCATCACAATCCATAAATTAAACACGTAATCCCCCCCCCCCGGGCAGATACATCAAGTGACTGTGTAACCTCAATTTTCCTGGCACCAATGAAAGACCTGGGCAGCCTGGGGACAGCAAGGTGGTCACAGATGAAAACAATCCACTTTGTCCAGATGAAGAAACCTTTCTAACTTTGAATGTTTTTCACTCATAGGATATTTGGCAGAACACAGAAATCCATGTCTGAAAGCTTTTGGAAACTGTGTAGCGTCTTCTGAATTCTAGTATGTGGGTACATCTATATAACACCTAGTTTTCTACATGGTCTGTGATTCAAAATTATGGGTTAATAATGATTACCTCATGCAGTTTTCATCAGCACTAATCTGTAGGAATATGTCTTTTTATCCATTTAAATCTGAAGAAAAGCTTGCCTTGAGGAAGGTATCTAAAAGGCTATTTTGTCTGTGTGAATGTAGCTGAAAAGTTGCTGGTTTTGTCATGTGTGAAGTTTTGTAGGTGTGTCTTCTGGGCATATGTTGTCTTGGTTATCTTAGAAGAATTTATGTGATGGGTTGACTACTTGGTTTTCTATGCATTTATTACTTGCCAAGTCCTGAGCTTTTAGTCAAGTGATACATGAATGACTATACTTGTACGCGGTTATAACCTCATGGCCAATGTGTACTTGTAGGTACCCTGTGTATTTTGCTTCTTTGTTCCTTTACATCTGATATACGTGCTGTACTGCTCAACTATCATATACCACCAGATATTAATATCTCTTCCCATCAAAACCATTCTGCTCTTTGGTCAGATAGTTTGCTCAACCCAGGTGGATATTAGAGGTAAAACTCAAGATATGTGCACTGCTTCTGTTAATCACGCCTGTCCGTGGACATTGAAATGATTGAAATGGGCCATTAGTATGTTCAACTAAGTTCTTTTTCTTCAAGAGGATCTTTTACTACCATTTCAAAGACAGGCAGCTGTACTTTTGTTTTCCAGCGCTGCATTATCCAGGACTAAAATCCTTTGCATGAAAGTAAGAATTGATCTTTTGTCTGTTTCAAGTGATCTCCCCAAGGCCCCCGTGCTCACTTTGCTGCCATGCGGAGGGCACTCTCTGCATCGTGGATGCTCTCTTCCAGTCGACGCTTGTCCTGCTCCAGCTGGGTAAGATGTCTATTGAGCTGACGCAGAGATTGATCTTTTCTTCTCAGCTCCATCTTTGCCTCAGAGAGACTCTGAGAGCAGACAGAAAACAGAGTTACTTGTCAGCTCTGATAATTAACTTCAATTTATGCCATAGGCTATTAAACAAAGAGGAATACAGACTGACTGTGAAATAGATTGGGGCTATATTCGAAGAAAAATAGTACTTATTTCCTCTTAAACATCCAGTGCATTGCAGATTTAACTGCTTTATAACAAATAAAAACCATCCTGATCTGTGGACAATCATATATGATAAAGGTGCTCCATAAAAATATATTATCTTAGGATTCATTAATGTGGGCTGTGTAAGCATATAGGAAGAGCTATGCTGGATTACGCCAAAGGCCTGTCTAGTCCAACATTCTGGTCCGAGAGCAACAGCCAGATTGTTGTGGGAAGCCTACAAGTTGATCATGAGGAGAACAGCACTCTCCCACAGAAAAGAACCCAGAGCATCTGGATCCATAGATGGAAAGACAAAGAAAATTGCTGTTTGGAAAAGTAGGGAGTAGAAGAAGCGGTTGAAAAAAGCACCTATCCTACAGCTCTTTTAACAGCTCAGTAAAGTTCCAAACTGTAAACATTATGTCATACAACTTTTTGTGATTTCTAACATGAATTGCATAGTCTCTATTCCCTCAAGGTTGCTCCAGGATAGTCTCTAATAGTCAATGCTTCAAGTAGAAAATTAATTCAGATGGATAAAATGCCAACAATACCCAAAAGGAGAAACAACTAAACAACTTGCATGCAAAAGACAAACAAGTCTTTTAGATGATTTGCTGTAAGGTTACATTTTCAAAGGCTTCTGAACTGCTATGGTACAATTTCAATTCAAAGCTCCAGCTCTTTTTATTTGGCTTTCTCAACTGTTGGAAGATCTGACAATTGTTACAGAAGTTCTTCTAATGTCAGCATTATATTTGCTTCTTGGTAATATACTTTTTCTGCATTGCATTTATACTTACCTGCATGTAGAGTTAATTTCTAAAAGTACTGTACTTTTTCATAAATGAATTTTGTTTTTTAGTACAATGTTTATTAGTAAAGGATTTCTCTTGCAGGAGTAAATTCCTATATGCTTTGTTGACAAATTAAAAAGCTACTGTATAACCTTCATAATGGAGCCAGGGATTATATATATATATTTATGACACTTTGCAACTCTTTTTAACAACTTCCACCTGAGGATCTGAAATGTCAAGAAGCAAAAAGAAATTTGGAATATTGATTTCCAGAAAGGCTGAGCAAGCACACATTCAACAGGTCAATGGAAACCCAAAAGCCCTATGCAGATTATCTCAAACACCTGGGAAGCAGAGGGCCATTGCCATTTTGCATTTAAAAGACCTAAGTACATATCTGAGGGGATATTGCACCTGCAGATTCATGAATAAAGAACCATAACCCAAGATCTGACTCAAGATTCTTTCCTTATATGAATCATTACTCTGAAATACTACAGTACAATATATACAGTTTGAAGTTTAATCTAGCATAAACAGTAGAATATTCTGACATTTTAAAAATTGATATGTGGGGCAGGCAATCTTTCTGCAAGCAAGGAGCAACAATGATTCTCAGATAAAGTTGAGGTTGGGTACCACTGGTATGCAGATGACAACCAGCTGTCCTCCTTCCTGTTCTAAAAGTCAGATGAGACATTACGCAGGTATTGGATCAGTCTTTGGATTGGCTGAAGAAAGGGCCAATATACTGAGAATGAGTCCTGATAAGAAAGAAGAGCTCTGGATTGATGCCTCACAAATTCAGGAACTGGCTGTCTCTCTAAATCTGTACCAGTTTGCACTCCAGGTGAAGGGCAAATGCATAGCCCTGGTGTTCTGGATTCATCTTTCACAGTCAAGATCTAAGAGGCTTCGGTGTCCCACAATGCATTTGGACAGATATGACTGGTCCATCAGCTGTTATCTTTTTTAGAGTGCAATGACCTGGTCATAGTAGTTAATGCTCTGGTAACCTTCTGGTTAGATTATGCAGCGTATTTTATGTTGATTTGTCCTTGAAGGCAACTTGGAAGCAGGAAGCTAGTGTAAAATGCAGCAGGAGGCTGGTGTCTAGAGTACATTTTAGAGACCATTTAATGCCAATCCTAAAGAAACTCCACCAATTGCTTATATAATACCAGTCGAACTTCAAGGCTTGAGAAATGACTAAAGCCCCAAATAATTTAGGGACCTGATACCCGAAGAAGCACTCCTTCCACATGAACACCATCGGCACTGAAAAATCAACATCAGTCAATTGCAAAAGGTAGTTTTACTTGGAACAGCTTACATCCTGTGACGATACCTTTAAAACCATCAAACAAGAACATCTGCCTATCCCAGGTCCTTGGGAAGGACTTGATAGATGGATAAAAATGCCAAATCCAGTCTAAAGATCTGGCTGACTGTGCGACCAACAATAAATAATATTTAACACCATCAAACAACATCTGCCTATCCCACTTCCTTGGGAAGGCCTCGATAGGAGGAGAGTTGCTTTGCAGTGAGATGAGTGGTGACAAATATGAAATATACATAAATAAATTAAAAAAAATAAAAATAAAAATGCCAAATCCAGTCTAAATATCTGGCTGACTGTGCGAACGACAATATTTTATTACTATATTTTATTTTTTATTAATAATCCCCCATGAGGCACTAGCTTGATGTGGTTGTGGGGCTTGCACGCTACAAGGAGGATGACAGCTATGCCAGAGGTTCAACCATACTGGACAGGTCTCATCAGAGGAGCCAGATGAAGAGTGTCTCTCCCATGAACAATATGGTAAGACATAATTTACAGACACCTATACCGGATTGCTTGTTGCCCAGGTCAACAAGGACTGCACTAGGACTGCACTAGGTGTTCTAGTTCCTGGACATCTGATGACAAGTGGGCTACAGGACTCAGGTCTATTGGCTGAGCAACCAGGGCCAGCAGCTGCAGGACTACTGGAAGAAAAGTTGTTTACCCGTTGCAAATATACAAAGACTGAAAACGAAGAAATAATGATCTGCTAATACAAATCAAGTCCAATGAGAAGAAGTTATCTGAAACGAATGCACCATTTCTCGAAAGAACACCATCCAGAATCAGAAATAACAGAACAGAGGCTAGCAGATCAATATCAGTTTATAATATGAAATAAAGTATTCACAGAAATAGAATTGGAAGGACTGCAATGGTTTACCCAGGGCAAAGAAATCGAAGCCATGCCAGGAGTATCTCAGACTGCAGAGGCAAACCAGGGGGAGTTGGCAGTAGAGGAAACCAGCATAGCTACTGAATCATTTTCATTCCCAAACCAAGCACCCTCTCCTCTGCCTTCTCCTCAGAAAGAACAA